AAGCCACAGAAGTTCTTTAGTTGAAATGTCAACTACTTCACCTCTGTATGTACCAGTGTGGGAACTAAACAGCTTCCCTGGAAGCCTTCATCTCATTGGTACCATGCAGATAATACTGTACGTATGTGTGAGGTTGTTGTGGATATTAATGGGCCGGGAAAGGCTTGAATATTTAATAAGTGTTCATTGTTGGTGGCCGTTCTGAGAACCTTGGTTTCCTCAACTGTAAACCAAGCATAGTAAATAATGAATCTTGCCATGCCTGTTCCATGGTGTCATTTGGAACCAAATCAAAATGAACAGAAGGTAGAAGTGCATTGTAAACTGAAAAGTGCTGCACAGTAGTTAGTGTTTATTACATAGTCTTGCTAGGCAATGCAGATACAAAACCATAATAATGCCAGCTTAGGCAGGAGTAGGTGACTAGTTGGTATGTGTTGTAATGAGTTAAGTACAAACATTAAACAGGATATTTTTCTAATTGTGCAGCATCATGATGGCCCTGCCCCTCCCCTGTGACCATGTGCCTTTGCTTTTCATGTGGAAAGTGCTCTGCATGCTTCTGGCACACAGGGGGATGTCTCCTAGTGGCTCAGGGCAGCCCCCATCTCCGGTCCTCACTCCTCGGCAGTTGCACAGGAGTCCTTGCTGTTCACGTGCCTGCCTTAGTCTCACTGGAGAGAAACGAGAGGGGGCATCTGGGAAAGGGCAAGTTACCCTCCATGTCTCTGACCCAGTTCATTTCTCATTTAAAGACAGGGCAGAAAGGGTCATATTTCTCTCTGATGTCTTTATTTTCCTGTCAATAAAAACCTTGTTAGCTGCCTGGCTGGGCAGGGTTTAAGGTTGGCAGTCCCGTCTCTGTGCCTTCATTAACCCTGGGTTAGTGTTGGAGAGTTGACGCGCTAAATCTTTCTTGTTCAGAGGCATCAGGTGCGGTCAGAAGTCTAGTGCTATTGATTTGGCCTGGGATCTGTGCTCTTGTTAGTTTGGCAAGGAGCCATGAGGGACGTGGAGAAGCATTAGAAATGGATAGGGGTGGGTAATGGGGAGAGGAGTGGGCAGGAGTGGGTTTGCTCCAGTCAGAGAGCCTAGGTCTGAAGCCGGCTCCATTGACTTAGAACATTTCTGCACCTGCCTTTCTGGTTCCCAGTTTCCTTATATTGTTGAAATAACAACTGCAAAGTGCTCGGCATCATGCCTGGGAAGAAGGAAGCCTGCGGTTTTAGCACTGATAACGATTATCCAGTGTTCACTGAAACCTATAAAGCACCTACTGTGTGTCAAGTACTGTTTTATAGAGTTGAAATACATCAGGCACTGAAAGCAAATTCCTCATCCTCAAGTATTTTATATAAGATTAAAAATGATGATGATGATGATGATGATGATGATGATGATGATGATGATGATGACAACGACAATGATAATTTCGCCCCCTGCCTCTGGGAGGTCAATATCTATTGGGGGAAATAAAATGCATCCCCATACTGCCATGGCTTGGAATATGTGTTGTCTGCTATACTTCTGTTGTACTTCGAGTTCCTCCAGCGTACAAAGGTTGCTCTATACAACACTCGGTCTCCACTTTCTGGTTTGATGAGTGTGGTAATGAGTTTTATGCATTAACTTTTCAACCCTGTGATAGGGCAGAAAGAGGTCTCATGGCTCGTGGAAGCCCTACGCAATCAGAGAAGCTATGCTGGGGTGTTGTAAGACAGATGCCATTCATTTATTCATAGGGGGTGCAGTCCCTGGTCACACTTCAGAGCCAGAACACACACCAATAGTTATTTCCCTGTGGCCACTGTGAGGCTCCTCCCCCATTTCTGGTCTTCATCCCCTTTTTTTTCTACAGTGAAGTCTCCCTTAGAGAAGGGAAGGGCTGGTCGTAATGGGAGAGTATTTCTACAGAGGGCCACTCCATTGGAACGCAGACCAAGGAAAACTCAAGGGAACTTTCTGTCCTCTGCCATCAGGCTGGGAATGCTAATAATAAGAATATTAGCAGTACCAATGTCTCTAGAGAAGGAAATCAATTACACGAACGATTTATGCAATTTAATGAGGAAGGTGCCATCCCTGCTTCGATATCTTCTGCAGAAGATGCTATGAGGGCCTGCCCCACACGGCAGGGAACACTGCTGTTGCAGAGGTTCCAGGGCTGGCCAGTTTGCCATCAGATGCAATATTTCCATCCCAGCCAGCTCCTGCCATCAATGTGTCAAGGGCCCTCTGGCAAGGACAGTGTTAGGTTTGGGGATGGACATGACCTTCCACATGATGAGTGTGTAAGGGTGAGGAGCGGGAGACTGATGCTGTGACTTCACTGGTGTGTTTATTCTGTAAGAGGTTTTTATTTGTGGCCCTCCAAATAACCCATTGGAGTGGGCAGGAGGCCTCTTGGCTTGTTTTCTCTTTGGTAAAATAGGACAAGAGATTTTCCCAAGGTCTTATACTGCCCAGTGTTAGGAGTCTAACACCTACGAGCTCAGTGTCTTTCCAGACAGCTTACTGATTGTGACATGGACTGAACTAAAGAAACTTCCTGGTGGCTTTTCTAGAACAGCAGCTCCTCAGCATAAGGCATCACACATGCATACACGTGCACACACATGGAGGAAAAGGCATTTCTGTCAAGTCAGAGAACTTCTGGCATGGGAAGAGTTAAGTAGGTTTTGTTGCTGCCATTTCTCGATGCCTTCAGCAGGCTCATGGAACAAAGGTCCTCTGACAATTTAAGATGGGGAGAGAGGGTCCAGTGGCCTTTTTGACTATAGAATTCTTTACCCATGGACGAGTATATAGGTATTCACTTCCTTTTCATTTTTCTTATGGTACTGGGGATTGGACCCAGGGTCTTTGGATTGAGTTATATATGCAGCGCTTTTTAACTCCGAGACAGGGTCTTACTGAGTCACTAAGTTGTGCATACCAGCCTTGAACGCTTCCGCCTCCCGCCTCACCCCTTCAGGTGTGCACCACCATGGTTTGCTTAGTTTTACAGGAAATACACTTGGCAGAGACTCTGCTCTACTTTGCACATAGCTTTACTTCCCTTAAAGACCTCAGAAAGATGCCCTCTGAAAGAAGGGTGAGGAAGAATGATTCCCAGGGTCCATTCTTGCCCTACAGCTTACACAGCCCATTCCTAGCTCAGTCAGTCTTCACAGCAGCCATGCGTATCAGGAGGGAGGGGCTGATCAGCACCTCATTAAGATGCAGATTCCTGAGTCCCCTCCCCAGAGAGTGCATCTCCATAGGTTCCATAGGTTTAGGGTGAGATCCCACACCAGGTGATTTTGTTCGGAAAGCCTCACTGTACCTAGTCCCAGAGAGGACTGCTTAGAGCCAGTGAGGACTACAGCGAGGCCTCTGGACATGTGCAAGTGGATGAACTCAGCCTTGCATGCCTGGTGATCACAGGTGCACACAATCAGCCTGCCTCCCTGAGACAATGGCCATTCTTTCGCCCACAGATTCTTCCTAAATGGGCTCTATTCTTTCTATTCGCCTCTAGTTGGTAGTCATTCACTAATACAGCTCTTGGGGAGAACAGCAGAAGTCCTTTAGTTACCTACAAAGCCCAAGTAGCCACACTATAGTTTAGGCTGTGAAAGGGAGATTTCAGGGGGACACTGGGACAGCAAGACTCCTGGGCAGACGCACCTCTGTATGTGGGCAAAACTTATGCAACCACTCGTTCCTTCTAAGATTTGATATTGACAAACAGGTCTATTGGATCTGGATTGTTGGAAGAGTACAGCTGGCTTGGGGGCTGACAACTGCTGGGCAGCTAGCCACAGAGATGAACCGTGGCTAAGTGGCTGGGAGCAACTGGACAGATATGGTGGTGGCTGAGAATCCAAGAGGTCTACCCAGTCCACAGCTCTGTGTCTCTTATCCGGACTGCCCCAACCTCAGGTGAACCTCCCCAGTCTGAACTGGCGGCAGGACACCTCAGTGTTCAAATCCCCTACAATCTGCTTAAATGCTATTTCAAAATGTTGGATTCTAGAAAACAGTTGGCTCTTGTAGAAGAGTTTTTTGCTGGACAGAGTTACATAATTCTAAGGTGTATTTGGAGGCAAGCTGCCAAGTTTTGGTGGCTGAGAGATCTATTGTTTTCCAATTTTACTTCAGGCTAGACATGGTTAGGGAAATTTCAAATCATGGAATATTTTCAAGTGAACATAAGTGACTTTGGTAATCAAAAAATTAATTTATTTTTAAAAATTCAGGGAAATGAAGTAGGACTGAGGCCATGAGCGTATTGAAATCCTTTCCCACCAGGGAAACTGGCAGAGCCAGTTCTAACTATGGAAAGTTCTTTGTAGAGTTTCCCACTCCTGACATCAAGATAGTTCTCCTACAGTGCTTTTTATAGCTCCCAAAGGGAGGAGTAATGGAAACCAGCAAAGGGCATCAGAACTATGGTTCACAGTTTCCTGGGCTTATTTTATAGATCCTTGTATTTATCCTGTGTGCATATTTTTACCTGGCATTTTACATAACATTATGATACAAGCACTTTCTCAAGTGGCTCCAAATCTTGTAACATAATGTATACATAATGGCTGCATTGTTTCTCATCACGTAAATACTGTACATTATAATTCACTTATCCTTTACTCTCTGGTTAGGCATTTTGGTTGTTTGCATTGTTTTCTTCTTGTGGAAAAAAATATGTGATGAGCTCTCATTACATTAAGCTGTTCCTGATTTAGAACCATTTTCTTAGGACAGAGACTAATTTAGATCGAATGCTAACAGAATAACAATGTAAACAATCTTTAATTTTTCTTTATTTTCTCAAAATATTAGTAAGATGCTTTGATGCCACGATGATCTCAAGTCACATCCTGGGAAGGGCTTGATTTCAAAGTACTGAAGACTTAGGAAAAGAACAAAAAGCAAGTCTAGATATAAAATCAGAATGCTATGAAAAACTAATTGACAATAATTATGGCTTAACTTTTTAAAGCCATAAATTAGGTTCTGCATACGCAAATCTTTAAATACTCTGCATATGAATCATTTTTTTCAATTATCTATGAGAAAGTATTTCAGATCAAATTGTCACTTGAATGTTTAGCAAGTCAAATTCACAGTAGTAACAGTGATAAATATATCAACTTTACATTAAGTATGAAAGTATTTGGAAACAAACGATTTATTGTGTTACCGTGTTGCCATTGCTACCTACTAAGAAAGTTGTTTAGTTATTGATTTCTTCATTATTCAGACAGAAGGACCAAAGCACAGCCCTGAGGAGAGAGGAACTTGTCTAAATCTACAAGGCCAAGTAGAGGCAGCTGTCATGCGTGGGACCATGGTTTCCCGATTCTCAGGTCTGTGGTGAATGGGAGTACTTCACTACCACAAACAACCTAGTCTCCATTCCTCCCTTCATATCTGTGTGGAATAAATGGCATAGAGATTCCACTTGGAAGGAGGTAAAAAACTCGCTGCTGAAAGTAGAGAAGCAGAAACATCATTCTCAGTTGTGGTTACCATTGCAAAGGGAGAATCATAAATACAGATGGACTCGCTTTGATGATGTGTATCTTGATTTCTGCAGTTCAATATTGAGGACATAAGGGGATGTCAGGGAAGGATTTACCAGGGCAGAGGCATTTGAGATAGCTCATGCAGGAAAGGTATTCCTTGGCTTTATGAGCCAAGAATAGGTGTGTGCTCTGGGGCAGGGCATTTGAAGTGGAGGCCTGAGGTATAAACAGAAACAGAGGGCATGAGCTTTTTTGAAAATGGTGATATAAATTCAGTGCTGCTAAGTCTTGGAGGGCAGATGAACAGGAGACAAGGTGGGGCAGACCTGAGTGGGCTTCGGGGTGATTCTAAGAAGTGTGAATCCGACTGCTGGATGAAGGGGACCAAGATAGGCTTACAAGTTGTAGAGTATGTTTGTGTGTGTATGGGGGGACATACCACAGACTGAATATTTGTGTCACCCTAAATACACACATTGAAATCCTAACCTGTATTTACAGATGGGCCCCATGTAAGGTGGTTAGATTATAAAGATGGAGCCCTGATAAGGGACCAGCGTCCTTATAAAAGAGGACCTAGAGAGCTACCTTGCTTCACCTGTGGCTCTATTTTTTGTCATGTGAGGAGATAGCAAAAATATAGTGTTCCATGAACCAGGAATGGGCTCTCATTAGACGCAGAGTCTACTAGTGTCTTGATCTTGGTCTTCTCAGCCTTCATAACCGTGAGAAGTAAGTTTACTGTTGTACTAGTTTGTCAGAGCAGCCTGACCAGACTAAAACAAACAGACCCACAGAAGGAGGGGAATAGATTCTGCAAATAGCCTTGATTTTGGATGAGGGTGAACAATGTAGCTGGGGAATCATTTCAGAGGCATTGCAAGGAGTTGGGTGAAAGATGAAAATCTAATCTTAGAAAGCCAGGATGGAGGGAAGAAGACAGACTGGACAGCCATTAACAGAACTGAGCTTCTACTAAATGTGGGAGTAAGAAAGAAACAGAAATGGAGCATGAGTAAGAATTTTGGTGGAAACAACCAACAGAGTGAAGAGACAACCTACAGAATGGGAAAAAGTTTTTGCCACTATTCCTCAGACAGAAAACTAAGATCTAGAACATATAAAGAACTCAAAAAAAATTAGACCACCCCTAAATAGAAGATTCAATAAAAAAGTTGGTAAGTGAAATGAGTAGCTACTTCTCAGGAGAAGTACAAATGGCTAATAATTATATGAAAAATGTTCAATATTGCTGGCCATTATGTGAATTAAAACAATACTGAGATCCATCTTACTCTATAAAGAATGCCTGTCATGAAGGAATCAAATAATAACAAGTGCTGACAAGGCTGTGAGGAAAAAGGAACATTTCTCCATTGTTGGTTGGAATGTAAACTAGTACAACCACTGTGGAAAACCATATGGAGATTCCTCAAAAATCTGTAACTAGTAATCCCATTTTGAACTAGCTATTCCCCTTCTAGGTATCTTCCCAAAAGAATTAAAGACATCCTAGTACAGTGATAAATGCATACCCACTGTGTAGCAGCACAGTTCATAATAGCTAAATCTTGGAAATGGCTTATAGATAATAAACAGATGAATAAAGAAAATGTATTTATATACAGTGGTGTGCTACTCTGCTATAAAGGAGTCAATTTGAGTCATTCACAGGTAAATGGAGGCACCTCGAGACTATAATATTAAGTGAAATAAAATGCAAAATAAAAGATAGTAGGAAGTAGGGAGACCTTTTGTAAATGGGAAGGGTAGCAAGAGATAGAAGCAAGGGGATATAGAAGAGGAAAAGGGGAATCAAAGAATTGACAAAAAGAAAAACGAAAAGGAGCTAGATCTTTTGCAAATTGGAAAGGAACCTAAAGATGGAAGAGGTGGGGGAGAGCAGGTAGGGAACATAAAAAGAATGAAGAGGTGCTATGATTAGAAACATCCTCGACTGCCCATGATAACTGTAATCATTATGTACTTCATGCATGCACTAATATAAACCAAAATTTATAATAAAGAATTTCAGTTAGGGAAAGTGGGTAAAAAAAATAGTACCAGAAAATATGGCAAACAATTTGAGGAAAGAAGGGCAAGAAAGGGAGTACTATTTGGAGCAAATTTGTTTTTGATGTTTACAGGACATCCAGGTAGAGATGGAGCAGTTGGGAATGGGAGTGGAGAAGTCAGGGAAGGACAGGGCGAGTTGGAACATAGCTCAAATGTAGCTTGTGTAGTTGAAGACACGGAAAGGTGGGATCCTCCAGGGGGCAGAGGCAGAAGGAAATGAGAGAAAAAAGAAATCACACCTGGAAAATGCTGGCCTTTATTACAGAGGATCCAGTAAAGAAGCTGCAGATGGAAAGAGAGAAGTAACCATGATGACTTAGAAGGAAAGGGAAGAGAAGTCGTTATACTGCCTGGCTAGAATTTTCCTGTTAGAAAAGGGGTGCCTGAGTAAGTCACTACCCAGATGGACTCTTGTCTAGGCCAGTGCTAACCTGGTCAGGATAGAGAGAAGTCAGCAATAACCCCATCCCCAGCAAAGCAGAATGTGCGGTCCACCTAGCCTGGCAATACCAGATGGAGCAGACAGTGTCATCCCCAGGAAAGTCTCAGGATAGCTGCCAAGGAACTTGGCTTAAAGTGGGGGGGAGGGGGGGAGAAGGAAGGAAGGCAGGCAGACAGACAGACTGACGATAATGTTCACTGGCTTGCTGATTGATGCTGTTTCCTTGATCATCTAATTTATTCATCAGCTCTACCAGAGGGAGTCGTACCTGACTGTAGGACCATCTCCTCTATTCCCTTGTTTCCAGGAGAGGTTCTGTCACTGACCCTTGCTTCTCTCCCCAGAGAGGAGGTGCTTGCTGGGTCTGATGGTGGGAGGCTGAGGGTCTGCACATGCATCGGCCCACTGCTTTTCCCTAGGTGGCTAAAGGCATCAGAGTCTCCGTTGTCTTTTGGCTCCCCATTCTAGGTTAGGGACCTGCTGTCTGATCTGCGTTATTCTCTTCTTTGTTGCTAAGAATGACTTTTCCAGGAAGGAAGGTAGCCATGATTCTCCAGTTATTTCGCTTGAGTTTGGTTCAGTCTTTGGAAAGGTAAAATAGTAAAACATTTGCCTGTAGATCCAACTGCATTCCCAAATCCAGATAGCAGCTATTAAACTGGTGCTGGCACTCCCTCCCCATTGATTTGACTCATGTCTGTTTCTAATTTGCTGCTGATTTGAAAGTAGAGAAAAGCATGATGTGATGTGTTGTGATGTGTGGATGGGCTCAACCTTCCCTGAATGCTCGTTACATCTGGGGAAACTGAGTCACTCCGTGTGTAAATGATAGAGCAGGGATAAAGCAGAGTGCATATCCAGACTGTGTCTTCTTTCTCCTCCACCGCGCTGCCTCCTCAGGTTGGGATTACACTGACAATAAGAAAAAAAGGCTCAGTCTGTGGGTTCACTTACCACGGGGCGTAGACTCACGTAAGCCACTGTGGATGTGTTGTGTGTTCCTGCGTTATCTCCCATGAGGTAGAGCCTGAGATTGTCCCCTCCTGGGACCTGCTGCGGGAGGACTGAACATTAACATAGCAAGCACACTTCCCTTCCCCAAAGAGTCTGATTCTTTGTCGATGCCAACAGGAAAAAGTCCAGCTTGTTTGCGGGAACACAAACTCGTTCCCAGGGCAGGGTGGTCCTGAGGAATGTCGTGGGAATCTTTCTGACATTTCCCCTTGGTTTATCCATCCTAACCTCCACCCAGAACCGACTCCCTGGCCCCCACCCCAGCAGGGGCCTGGCCTGTGTGTGAGAACACCGCGCACTTGGAGAGAGCCCTGACTCTCACACGATTGCTCCCCACTGTAGCTCTGCTGCCCCATTTTCCTGAGTGAGAAAACTGACGTGAGCGGGGTCTGGGGGTAGCAGGGCGCAGGAGGTAACTGAGCTAGTGTGAGACTTGAGTGTGAGACTCCCAGCTTCATGCTTTTTACACTGTAAGACTATATATATATATATATATATATATATATTTTTTTTTTTTTTTTTCTGGTACCAGAGATGGAACTCAGGACCTTATGCTTGCAAGGCAGGCAGTGGAACCACTGAGCTAAATCCTCGGCCCAAGACTGGGTATATTTTTAAGACTCCCAACATATAAAATAGAAAAGAGGTAGAGGTAACTTGGGAAGAGTGGCAGTTAGGAGCTTTTCATATTCACCTTCCTCTGTACCTCTTCTAGTGTCCCCAGAAACCTTCACTGTAGTGTACTCTGTTCCAAGATTAGATCCTGATAGTATGTTTTCCAATTTTAAAATCTGCATGTTTGGACCAAGAAGAGTCTAAGATTCAGAATTGTGGTATATAGAAATGTATTTAGACCTGTCCCATTAATTCGAGAATTAAAACTCTGCTACCTACCTTGACTTGAGGCAAAGTGGTACAGTGTGAAAAGCATGGGAGTTTGAGTCACAGCGCTCAAGTACAAACCACAGTTCTGCCATTTACTTCCCATGTGGCCTTGACTCACTTAATCTCTGAAGCACAACAGCCTCGTTAGTGAAATGGGTTTATTCCCTGGCAACCTGGCAAAGTCACCATGGAGATGATTTGAGCCAGCATTCATGAAAGCTTTGTACACAGATACTGTTCACAAGTATGTGCTACTTGTCATTGTGTGGCCACTTCCGGCTTCCAGGTGGCTGGGTCAAAGATGTGTACAGAAGCCGTCTTCATTCATGTACCTAATTAGTCAATCTATTAAGGACCTCCTGTGGATCAGGGGGGTGCTGATGTGTTTGGAAATCTAGGTTACACTATCCAAAAACAAAAAAGAAAAATACTAAAAATAACCAAAAGTGAGTAGAAAAGGAAAACAGGAATAATAACACTGAAAGAAAAGAATCTGTTGGGTTTCCATTGTGATTTCCTTTTTGGTTATGTAGAAGTCAGAAAATGAGTCTCAGTATCCCAATGAGGCAGCAAGCAATGTAGCACACACTGAAGTAATGTGGTACTCTGTGATTACTAGGGTATAGGGAGCTTAAAGCATCTATATATTCACTCAAGAATTGTGATCTGTGAAAGGTGAGAACTTTGAGAGCTGCAAGACAAGTGGAGTTGGGGCTGAAACAACTCACCTTCTATTTACTTTGATGCATATTTATACTGTGCTAATTCAAAAAAAGGGGAAGAAAACCAAGAACTCCCAGCTGATACAATGCTATACTGACTTATCTTGGTAAAACAATTAGAATAGACGCAGGCAAAGACTCAGTGATTAACCCTGCACTGACTCTGTGCTACTTTAAAATTAGATCAGGGTTGTATCCAAAAATTTTAAAATAAAAATCATAGTTAAAACTCTCATTTTTCATATGTAGCTAGTGCAGAAGGAAGGTATCTACCTATAATTTTGTGTGGGGTGATCAATGTAACTTTTTAATTCTATTTTAAATGACTATACATTTCTCTTTTTTCACTTCCTTGGATTCCTTCCCAGGATTTCCTTGGAAATCCTGCAAGCACAGAACATTCTTTGTGAAGGTAAGAGGCAAGGATTTAGTTTGGTTTGGAATCTACATTGTAGATTCCTTGGCACCAGTAATGGTGCAAATGAAAACACATAGCTGAACATGTTTTCCAAACTGATCAGATTTCACGATCAGAGACGTGAAGTTCACATTATCTTGTGGAAGAATCAATGGTTGAACCAGTTTAAAATTAATAGGATAAGCTTTTTTCTTGATTATTGGAGGGCTCCTTGTTAGGCTAATTAAAAAGAAAACAGATATCAAAGCAGCCTGTGGATATAGGCAGGTAGGCAGTCTGGATGCTTTGAACCTTGGTATACAACATGTGACATGAGGACCACTCTCTACAAATTACCCAGGATTTTGTCTGAATCAGTGAATCTTAGCCCCAGCCTATACCTCCTGAACCAGAGCCTACATTTCACAAAATATGTAGTGAATAATTTTTACTCACCTTATAATTTCCAGAGCTTGTGGATCTTGAGTTCTCAGGAATGACCTTGGAAGCAGTAATAAACTGGGTACCAAATGGGACCTCTGGAGTCAAATGAAAGAGGGATGGTGAGGGTCTTTGGTGGTGTATTTCCCAGATAAATGGGAGACAGTGAGTGACTGTCCTTCTGTATGAATGGCTGCCTCTAATACAGAGCTGTGGCTAAATCAGAACATGGGATGTAAATTTAGAAAGAAAACAATTGCACAAAAGGAGGGTATGAAGAAATATCATTCATATCTGTTTTTTATTATCAAAATAATATTGCTGTTTTGCATGCTTCCTAGATTCCTTAGGGTATTCTATTGCCGTCCTGAAAATTTTTTTTAAACATATTTAGAAACAATTTAATGGAAACATTGTTGCATGGGAACAAAAATATTTTTCTCACAAAATGTTCCCATTCAATAAGTTGCCACATATTTTTGTTCCATATGGTGCTTCATAAACCAACAGTGTTTGTAGGCAATTGACACAGAAAGAGGTAGATTTATGCGTTTGAATGAGCTCTGTAAATGAGAAAAAGATAATTGATGCTTACTTCTTTTTTAAAATGTAATGTTTAACAGCAGTTCAAGCTACGTTCTTTAGAAAGACTGTAGAGAGAGCAAATGAGTAACTTCATTTATTCATTACTTCATTAGTTACTAATGCTTTTGATGGGGATACAGAGATAAGCAATAATAGCTGTGCTACTGAAGAACTCCCCCTCTAGTGGAAAAGGGAGAAAAAAGACAGCGATGAGAGGTGCACTGAGGGGTGCAGGGCCCCTGAGAGAGCGCAATAGGGCTCCTTAGGCTGATGGATGTGGCCGGAGCTGAGGGACTCTGCTGGAAAAGGCAATCTGTACGTGGAATCCTTTAGAAAGCAGGTCACAAAGCTACTGTCTTACTTTCTTCAGCTTTGTCTGTACCTGCAAAGTCTTCCCTGGCCATGTGTTTCAGGAGAAATCTTTACCCAAACCTCTGCTGTTCCCATCACTTCACCCTGTTTGTTTCCTCCGCAGTAGTGGCCAGAAAAGCTTGATGCTCCTTCATTCTCTATCCACACCCTCAGGTAGCCCTCTTCCACATGCTTTCAGTGATATGACCCATAGGCTAGGACAGAAGTGATGGTATGTCATTTCCAACAGGAGGTTCTGAACCACACTGTGGCCGCCATCTTGACTGCTCTTTCTTTCTCTTGGATCATTCATTCAGGGTGGAAAGCCAATTGCCAAACTGTAAGCAGTTCTCTGGAGAGGACCACATGGTGATGAACAAAGCTTTGTGACAATGCCAGCTGGATTAACTAGGAAGCAGACCTCCAGGCCCCAACAGACCTTCAGATGAGACTGCAATCCTGGGTGGTAACGTGCCCACAGCCTCAAGAAGGACTGTAAGGAAGGAACGCCGGCCTGCACTGCTCCTGGACTTCCTGCTCCCAGCAGTATGAAGTCATAAATCTTTGTGGTTTATAGGTGCTATGCTAAATTTTGAGGTAATGTGTCCCATAGTAATAGTTAATTGCCATTTTGGGTATTATGCTCTTGTAGAAGGTTACTTTTCTGTGTTCACTGCTGTCTCTCTAGTGCCTGGAAATCTGCCTGGATTCTGGTAGGTGCTCAGTAAGTCTGTGGAGATTTACTGTAATGGTTTGAATGTAGAGTCCCAGTGTTTCATCGTATGTGGGAAATCCTCGGGACAGAAAGGACTATCCTTTTTTCTCTTCTTATCTAACTGGTTGGGAATTTCTTAAGTGGTATACTCTACAGCTAACACCATAACCCCATGAGACTCAGCAGAGGGTAGGGACAAAGCAAACACAGAGACCAAAGAAGCCCGCAGACAATGAGAAGACTGAACTAACTGGGTTGGGGACAAAACAAAAGAAAGCCAAATGCCTAAGTGTCCTGGATTGTAGCTTTTCATGGCCACTGATTTCAGTCCTGCCTACCCAACAGAACCATGTTGTACGGGGCAGAGCTGGTTATTGCAGTTGTGTGTATACTTCAAATCTCCCCCTCTGTTTGGCTTTGAACAGTTAGCCCTGGGATTCTGTCAACAACATCCCTTCTAAACCAGCTCTGCCAATAGTGGGCGCTAGAAAAGACATAAAAGATGTGAAAAAGAGTCCTTGTTTCATTCTATTTTCTTTCTGCTCCTGTCACTGTTAGGCTGGCAGTGGCTTTTCACCTTAGGGATCCGATAGTAGCAGCTGGTTCTAGTTCTTGGTTTTGTTACAATCCCAGAATCAGCTGTATCTGAAATACAAAAGCTATCCCGTGTGTGTCTCCTCCTCTAGAGCCTGGACCTCTACAGCCCTGTGCAGTTCCTCCTCTGATCGCAAAACTAGCAAGAGCAGGTGGCACTTCCCTAGAAGATTGGACCTCAAGTCTGCAGGGCCCTCTTCCCAGCTTAAGTTTACTGGTAGGGTAAACCGAGGCATGACCAAGACCACCAGAGCAGGCAAGAATGAAGCAACAAGTGAGGTTTTATTTTCAGCCTGGGTGCAGGCTAGTCAAGGGCAACGAAGCCATTGACTCTGGGGGCTTGGGTGAGGGGAAACTTTATAGGGGAGTTTGGGTAGGGAAGGGGTAGTGCCAGGAGGAGTGGAAAACTCTGTCCTGAAGTGGAGGAAGTCTGGTGGTCTCCAGGGGTATCTGGACCCACAGATGTTGCTGCATGGGGCAGGCTGCTTATCTTGAACCCAGGCCTTAGCTTCCTGTTATCCTTTGCCCCTTGCAGAATGTGTAACTGCATTGCCTGGGAAGTTTTTCTCTTCTGCCTGGGTGGGGGTCTGACATTTATAAGCCCTACTTTCTTTTTGTTTTGCTCTAGTGTTAGAGGTAGTAACTTTTTCCTGCATCCTTCAATAATAGGTTAAAAATTACTTTAAACTTGGTGTGATGGCATACATATGTAATATATATGTATATATATAATATATATGTATATATATAATATATATGTATATATATATATGTAATCCCAGCTACTCAGGAGGCTGAGTCAGGAGGACTGAAAATTTGAAGCTAGCCTGGGCAGTTTAGTGAGACCCCTTAGCCCAAAATAAAAAAGGGCTCAGTGCAAAGCAAAGGAAAAGTGCAGTGTCCAGTACCACACACACACACACACGAAGAGAAAGAAAGAAGAAAAGTTATTCTAATTAAATTCTCCATTTCTGATATTGATATCTCAATAGGAATCTGTAGGCACTGAAAAGGAACTGTATCCAGATGATACAGCTGCCTGGCTTCTCCCACCAAAGGTTGATTTTGATGGTCTGCTCTGGAGAGACACAGGGCATTGAAGAGCTCATTTTGATGCCCACCTAGGGTAGAATTTCCTGAACTAGAATGCCTTTGTTTACCTATATGGATGGTCCAACTGATTTAATCTCAAGTAAGATCCTGAGCTGTCCCAATTTTCACAAATTCCCTCAGCTACCTATACTACTGCTTAGGAGAAAGAATTCTGAAACTTGACCAGGTCTACTCATCCATTGAAGTGTAAGTGTTCTTCCGGCTATTCATATTTGACTCCATAGCAGATGGTATCAACCTGTGAGGCTGCTTTCAGCATTTTGCTTCCATATTCAGAATGTCCTTGGACTCCTTAAATACCTGTAGGTATCATGAGGTACAGTATTACAGGTGGGCTCAAAGAAGGCAGGATTACTAAATGTTTGCCTGTCAGTAAAGCAAAACAAAGAACAGCACTGGGGTGTTTACTAAGGTCTTTAGAAAAGAAATTTACATTTAGAAAACATTCATCTTACACAGGTTCTTTATGTGCAAATTTAGCTCTCTGGCTCCTGATTTTCATTAAATGTTTCATGTGGGTGGAGAATACTGTCAACATTACAAATAGAGTTTCTGTTTAATTTCTTAATATAATTTGTCATCAAATAAACTCCCAGAAGGAAGTTCTGACCAACCGGATGGGACTTGAAGGAGAAGGATGGTTGGTTTCTGCAACGCAAATGATTTCTATTTTGAACAAGCAGGTGTTTGGGAATGTATGGGCCCAGTGACTTTGCTAGAACATTATGGGATGCAATTAAATGAATGTTCCCAGCTCAGAGACTCCCTGATTCACTTTCTGCATAATGTATCCCCTTGAATCAGATAGGGAGAGGCTCTTCATGGAAATGACCATCTTCTCCCTGAACAGACTGCTCTGCCTGGATGTCTCCTGTCAGACTACAGGATTACACTGATCTCCAGTGGTGCACTGCTCAATGGAAAGGAGGGGTAGATTCCCATCACCTCCCCCCAAATGAGGCATGTAACAAACAGTTCAAAGTGAAAGATGATGAACAAGAGTGAGCAGACAAACAGCACACTGGTAAAATCACAAGATGCACGCATGTGCACAGTCTAAATCATGACACATGACAAGTTATGTGCACTTCGGCTCTTGTTTCTCAAAGAGAAGTTGAGAACAGTGACTCTTCTACCTTTTGTTGCTTTAGAAATATAAAATTTCTAAATTTATATTTTTTATATTTT